AGATTTTCCCAGAGGGTGGCGGGTGTCATCAGAGGCACGCCGGGAAGTCGCCTCGCCGGAACGCGCATTCTTCCCCGCCCCAGAATACCAATGCCATATTATTATGTGTGATCTCCTTCATTGTGCTCGATATCTACTAATATAGAGTAGATCCATTGACGCCTTATACCTTATTGAATTAATTGTCATATCACGTTTGCACTTGAATTATAAATTAATGAAATTATACACACACAATTTTAACTTACGTTCTGATTAAAATGAAGTAGATATGAAAAAAAAATAACATTTTCAATATGTCACAGCAGAATGCCATATTATATGCGGTTGTTATAAACTTGATAAACGCTAATATTATTAATACGTTTAGTGTGAAAAGTATGAATGTGTTCATGACGTCTCAGCAAATTAATATACATACTTAAAGTCTGGAATGGCATGGGGATAACTTATAAGTTGTGAGTTGTAGACCATCATAGTCCCACGTAGAGCCATAGTCTATCATTTTTTTAATATGATTGAATAACTATTTTAATCATTTTCTTATATAATTAAATATAATTTCTTACTCTTTCGCAATATTTTGTGATTATAGCTTTATAATTATTACACATATCTATTTTTTTAAAGTGTTGTGACTTGAACAATTACACGGCAGAAATATAAAAAATAATATCTTTGAATTTCCCTACTACTACTACAGTACATACCTGGTATGAGTTTACCTGTAAACGAAATTAAATCCTGTACTGAGTGATTTGTATCATTTTCATTAACCTATTAATATTAAATGCTCAAAGTTTTGATGCCTTTAACGTACATAATATGTAAATTAAGTATTAATAAAAAATAATATTCTTAGGAAATAACTTACTAAAATCGTTGTACCGTACCGTAGAAAAAAAAATCGTATAAAAATTTATCATACAAATAAATATAAAAAAATAATCGTTAAACAACTTACATATACCTATGTATGTATATAATATATAGGTACAGGTCGAATACAAAAATTTCCTTTGTCCTCCTTAGAAACTGAATTACTACCGAATAAATACCTGAACAGTCGGACATCCAGATCATTTATTTATTTTAGCTACATTACGCAAAATTACTCTTCTGATCCCAAATTAAAGCGAGTTAACATATCGAAGATCACTAAGAACTATTCATTTTGTTCTACACAGCATAATTATAAAATACTATAAAGTGTTTGTATTCAAGTGACGATAACGATTATTTTATTCCTTCATACGTTTAGGATTAGCACATTGAATTGATAGAAATGATGTAAATTGTATTTGCGAAGGCAAATATTTAATTCGTCCATGTCACAAGTGGGTGGCATGATACTGATCAAGTCTAAAACAATTTAGGCGCTCCGCCATAATCAAATTTCAGTTTGCTACGAGCTTCGTCGGGACTGCATTCCGAGACAATTATTGTATGAAAACTCTGTTATATCTATTACGTGGTGTACCCGCTATAAATAAATTATTATAAAACTTTATTATACTCGTAATCATGCGGAAACCTAACTTATATCAATAATCTTAGCTTAAATACTGATTATAACATATCTAGACTGATATCTTGGGACCTTTTTTAAAAACTAAATTTTCTAACATCTCGTACAACGGCATACCTACATGTCTGCTATAATAGAACAGGTGTTAAGCTGTTGCATGTGCTGTTGCTTTTTATGTTGTGGGCTGTTCCACAAAGCTATCATAATTTATCAACCAGATTGCACTTAGTGACTAGCGAAGCACGTAGGTACGGGTACCTTTTGTTATAATTGACCGATTATAGCATTGCTACATTACTTTGGCTTTTCTGGGTGCCTCTGGGTTATAATTACTCTGAACTATTAACTTTCAAATTTAAAAGTAGGTTTTGTAAAATTCACAGTATACATATATAGGCAGTTTATATACTTAACTAGCATTGCCCGCGGCTCCGCCCGCGTTCAGTTGACCAAAAACCAAATTCTTAGGTTTTACATATTAGAATGCTCTTAAAATGCAGTTTTTGTATTTTTCTCATAAATGAAATATTTTCCCGCGATAAAAAGTATCCTATATGTTAACCCGGATAACCAGCTATCATCATACTAAATTTCATCAAAATTCCTCCAGTGGCTTTCCGTGATGCGGTAACAGACAGACAGACAGAGAGACGGACGGACGGACGGACGGACAGACAGACAGACAAAAATTCTAAAAACTATAGATTCGGCCTCTGCATCGATAATAATATCTATTTCAATAAGATTTTCCAAAAAATATCTAATGTACAGATTCGGCTTAGTTACAATTTTATTATATGTATAGATTAATATAAATTGGTTAGTTTATTAATCTCACGAGGCTTACTGCCCAAGAAGAATAAAAAAAACGCAAATCCTTTTTAAATATTTATATGATTTAAGCAAATTTACCCAAAACCGACTATGACCCTACAGACGTTGTTCTGTCCAAATTTCCATAAATTTGCATATGATCTTTGAGTACATCCAAAAAAAATTATAGGAAAAAGCACTTTAATTGGTTTTTCCATATTTTCCTATTTGTGGATTATTTTTTCCTCTTTTAAACTTTATTGTCGTCGTGAACCGTTTAAAGATTCTCAAGCTTTTCAAAGATCCATCAAAGATGGTTTACCCAATACTCATTTCGACTATAAATTATAAACCAGTCTAACGAAACCAGTTCTTATAACTAGTATATATATATTCTGTTATTTTAATGGGGTTTATACGTATAATAATAATAAATACATAAATTAATTATTGATCATAACCCAATAAAAAAACATACACGGAAATGAATATTATATGAATATTGAATACAAAACAAGAAACATTCATATTAAACAATAAGTTTCATTATTTTAGGCTGTTGTCAATACAAAAAATATGGTATAGCTTCTGTTGGGGTACTAGGGGATAATTTTTTTTAATTTTTAGCATACTCGCGTGATACTTAGAGTTTCTTTTTCTTCTAACTATAAAAAGAGGAGATTAGTATATATATTCGGCCGGTATTTTTAGTCATTTTATGTTAACCACAAAAAACTTGCTTGGAAGATCATTTCATTTATTATGTACTTATTAAAAACCCTTTGCATACTCGCTTTATTTTGAAGATATTCCTGTGTAATTTTGCGTTATAAAATGTAGAAATATTTAAGATAACAGAACAATTTTAATTTTCTTAAACAAATACGAAGACATTATGTAATATCAATTTCTGGACTGACAGTGATTTATATAGAAGGCGTACATTCTTTAAGAAGGCGTTCGATTTACTGCGGAAATAAAGATGCAGAAAAGTCGTAGAAAAGAAAATAGACTCGTTGAAATCTAATTTCGCGTAACCATAACGGCAGCTCTTGAGCTCGATGAGCTATCCGCGACAGACGCCCGACTCATATCAATTCGTTAATTGAGCCGCAAGTTCTCTTTATCACTCTTTAAACCAAGAAAATATACTAAAAAGTTTTTCCTTTTTCGGAATGCACTTTTATAGTTACTATTATTTTTAAAACATTTTCCTATAGATTATAACTTATTGCTACACCCATGAACGAAATAACCACAATTCGTTCATGGCTACACCCTACTGAATACTGACATTTATTTTTCATTTTTACTTCAGGAAATGGTTTTCAAATAACATTTTTTTTGAGAATTCCTTATCCGTCTATTTTTTATTTAGAGCTCCAATAATTCAATAAAGCTTCTCATTTCAATTTTTTACCCTATAATTCTCTACTTTTATCTCGGTAATAGATGTGTTTTAATGAAAACTAATAAAGTAATAAAAAAACAATTGAAATGCATATCTGAGCAAATGAGCTACGGGGATAATAGCTATATCACTATCAGATCAGCAAATTGAAATTGTTCAATCTTGTTTTTATTTTTCGGTTGTTTTATAAAGCTAAATACTGTGTAATGAAGTTTTTATCGAAATACAGCCTTGGTGTTATCGTTTTTTATGCAAGGCCGCGTTAGTTCTATGTATTTATAACTTTACGCTCGAATGTTTAGATACATTTTCCCCCGCAGCGGTTAATATCTATCTGCATATACCTACATACATATGTTATAGTCAAAGATCGATATGTAGCCTCTTCATGGAATGACTGGTTTATCCTAGATTTGACGAATGCTTTTCGGCAAATACTCAAAAAAAAGACCATTTCTGCCTTTGACTGATTTATTTTTAGGCAAACCTACCTAACTTTTTAGTCAAATTTCAAAAGCAAAATAATCTATTTGGAACTTTGTTGCCTAGTCTATTCTACCTAGGAGCGACGGAGACAAATTCATTAAACGTTGATTTGTACTGCGCTTGTTGCATGTTTGATAATGATTATACAATAGCCTATATCTTTAAACGAGCAATTCTTGTATATATATATAATCTGAATCTCGGAAACTGCTCCAACGATTTTCATGAAATTTAGCATACGGGAGGGTTTCGGGGGCGATGAATCTTTCTAGATTAGTCTTATGTCTGAGAAAACGCGTGTTTTCGAGTTTTCATGCAGTTTTCTTTTGCATTATACCACGCAAAATATGGTCGGTAATTTGCACGCTCTGGAGTAAGCATCGTGGTCAAACGGCCAAGGCGCAAGATCAATATCACAGGTGTCCAGGTTCGTATCCCGGTCGATCCACAAAGATTTTACTTTTGTTTTTTTTGTATTTATTCAAATTTTAGTTTTTTTTTAATGTTTTTGGCCAAAAACTCCGAGAAAAGCTCGGTCGCCCAGGTACTATATCTTAAATGCGTAGGTATTTTTCATATAGATATATTAGAACACTTGTTGTTCTGTACAAATTATATTTGGAACTATCTGAAGGGAATATAAACCCTTTAACTAGGAATATAGTATTTCAAATAAAAATTAAACACCTCCAGTCTAATTTTATGGTATTAGGTAGTTAAATTATAGATTTGTATTTTTTTTAAAAACAATAAGTATAATTATAATCTTTCCGTTTCGTCAATACGGTTTGGGTCGTTCTCTTGAAAAATATAATATGGCCCCTCATTGCAATCAGGTCCATCACAAGAAAAATTATCATATTCACAATGTTCTCCCATGATAACCTAGAACAAATTATTATACATATAATTATTATAATAAAAAGAATTTTGTTAAAATAAAAAGCATTAAATTAGGACTGATCACTAATCCTAGCTTAACAGTAACTTATGCGTTACTCCAGGTCACTGGTCTAGCTCTAGGTAGAGACCGTACGATTCGGCGAGTCTATTGGACGTTTTGGCGAGTTTTATTTTAGAGCTTTTATAATAGATATTGCAAAACTAAAATAATTTATAACTTCTTGTTTTCTTTCATTATCTGTTACAGAATTAGCCATAATAACATTAGCCATAATTAGCCAAAATAACATGATAATTTCAACCGTCTTTTATATAAAACTCTAAGAGGAAGAACCAGCCAAACGGATGTACGAAGGACTTAGTCATAAGGTTCAAGAGGGAGGTATGGGACACGAAATATTAGATACAGAATCTTTAAAGGCTTCTACAAAATACAATAAGCAAACTTAAGAGTTTATTAAAGAAATAAGTAGAATTATAAGGCAGTGGTAGCCCAGTGGTAACGCGCTTACTTGGGAAACCGAGTGAAGCGGGTTCAAATCCCGGGACTTGCACATCGTGAGGAAACCTGCATGTCTGAGAGAACTTAGTAAGTTTTCGAAAGACATGTGTAGTCCGCCAACCCGCACTTGGCCAGCGTGGTAGACTATGGCTTGATCCCCCTCGTATGGAAGGGAGGCCCGTGCCCAGCAGTGGGACGTTAAAAAAGGGCTGAACATATACATACATATATATGCAGTAATCCAATAAAAACGTTCTTATAATAAAGTAGTATAGTTAACTTTTTAACTTCTAGTTATATAGTAAAACATTGTGATATCTACAATACCTTACTCGGGTGCATAGGATCAAGATTTACGTCACAAAAGCATCTGCCGCATACGCATTTTCCACGTCCTGAACATTTTTGTTCTGTGTCAGCTGGAGGACAACTGTTTTCTATTTCAGGACCAGCGCATGCACATTCCGCGTTATCGTGTAAACTCACTAGAAAGTTAGGTGCGCATCGTTCACATAACACATCTATACATATAATAAAATTGTAATTAAGTCGAATCTGTACATTAAATATTTTTTGGAAAATCTAATTGAAATAGACATTATTATCGATACAGAGTCCGAATCTATAGTTTTTAGACTTTTTGTCTGACTGTCTGTTACCGCATCACGAGAAAACCACTGGACAGATTTTGATGAAATTTGGTATGATGATAGCTGGTTATCCGGGTCAACATATAGGATACCTTTTGCCGCGGGAAAATATGAAAAACATAAGAATTTGGTTTTTGGTCATCTGAATGCGGGCGGAGCCGCGGGCAATGCTAGTATAACATAATATTAGGAATTGCGACTTTCTAACATACCTACCTATCACTCGATTGTAAATTGTAATCGTCAACTATTCTTAAAGACCGATCACTTTTTGGCTGAACATGATACACCTATTTTGACTATGTACATATAAGAAACATTTCATACTCATTAGGAAAATATTTTTTAATCACATAGGTAGATAATTTATTTTATAACTCTTGAAATCTTGAGAACTCTATTTTATTTCTAGAGTTTTTTTTTACTTTCTATTTTTAGAGCCAAAAATGACTTTAACATGTCGTGAGAAACTGCATCAAAATCTGTAAAATACTTACCGCATAGTATATACTGACGGCGTACTTATAATATTATTTAGCAAGTCCGAATCTATAACGGGCAATGTTCATTTTACATACGAGTACCTACTTAGGTATATCTCGACAGAAAGTGTGAAAAGTTGTCTTTGTAGTAAATTTCTTGAAAATCGATCGATTCATGAAAATGTAATAAACAAAATAGATACATATTATGTAGGTATACTAAAACAAAAATATGATTACCAAAAAGATGACTAAAAAACTTTAAACAAACTGGCCTTCGAACAAACAATTTTTTAAATAAAATAAACCCTTTTTGATCTCAATAATTTGCTTCTAAATTAATATATGTATGTAATATAAAATTTAAGTAATTTTGAGTCAGTGTGTTTGTTTGACAAGTAAACAACTGTTTATAGATGTTTGCTGGAGATCCTTCTTCTTCACAATTGCATCTCTAGATTTACTTGTGCGCGAAGTCGTAGACAATAGTTAGTTAATAATTAATATAAGAAACAATACATAAATGATTAATATCAAATAAATACTCACATCCGTATGTCGGATGACGAATCATCTTTTCTGTACAAAAATCTTTATTGTGTGGTAAATGTTCTGAAAAGCATCTGTTTTCTGTTGGACACCAGGAACATTGAGGCAACTGAAGGCAATCTACACAGGTTAATTTAACATTACATATCCAGCGCTCATCTATTCTGACTACATTCAAACGATTCGCTGTTGCCATCGAAATAAAAATAAATAGGCAAAAAAACACAATCACATTTTTGAAAGCATCCATGTTCATGTCTTGTATAGGCTGCTATTGTAACTCAACGTGAGATTATACTACAACTAAATGTCTAGCCATGACTTAAATTGCGTATTTATATCACAAAAGATAACCTTTGGTTGATTATATATAATTACGCAAACATATTTATAACGTTCTACTTCAGTATTCTCTTAATATTCGAGATATATCTAATAACATATTATATACTTACTACGCATCAATATTTATATTATAAATTCAAAAAGATAATTTGATTGTACACCTCAATTATTATGTAATTTATCTATTAACTAGCATTACCCGCGGCTCAGCCCGCGTTCAGGTGACCAAAAATCAAATTCTTATGTTTTATATATTAGTATACTCTTACAATGCACTTTTTGTATTTTTTCTCAGAAATGAAATAGTTTCCCGCGGTAAAAGGTCCTATATGTCTATGTATAGGTCCTATATGTATATGTCCTATATGTTGACCCGGATAACCAGCTATCACCATACGAAATTTCATAAAAATCCCTTCAGTGGTCTTTCCGTGTTATATATATAGCTTCTATATCGATAATAATGTTTGTTTCAATAAGATTTTCCAAAAAATATTAAATGTACAGATTCGGCTTAGTTACAATTTTATTATATGTATAGATGACTAGTGACTTACCCCTCACTTCGCTCGGGCACGTTTTATATCGATAAAAATAGTTATATTGCAAGTGTAAACTTTAGAAGATAGACGTGACGAGTAGCGTTTATAGAGTTTTCTTTACAACTTTTTAAGACCTACAATTTTCTTGTACATTGTTTTGATGTATCTCATAAGGTTTAGCCAGCGTTTACCATCTAAATTTCTAACAATGATTCGAAATAAACAGTTATTGTGTTTTCCCGTGGGAATGAAATATTTTCCCGTAGTAATAGGTATCATAAATGTTGACTCGAGTAATAAGTGATTACTATACAAAATTTAATTAAAACTGGTATAGTACTTTTTGCGTGAAATGCACACAGATATACAGAAAGGGTTATGTGCTTGACCTGTAATCTGTATGTATTACAGGTTCCAATTTGTGTCTTGAAATTAATGTTTTTTTCCAAACCTATCGAGTGGGGTATCAAAATAAAGACTTTTAAGAGGCGATCACAGAACTTTATAAAACTTTTTTGTTTAATAATTTGAGGTAACAAAACTAAAAATCTCTAAATAAAAATTTAATTATAAAAATAATAAATCAGAATGCAACGTGTATATTTCTGACTGCATATTACTATTTTCTTCTGTTAGCTTATTAAGTACCTACTTTTTAGTTCGCTTTTTACGCAGTCGGGTTTTTTATCACGCATTTACGCGGTGACCATCTTAGGGTAATACGGAATATCCTTTGGTTAGAAACCTTAATTAACTATGTATACTCACAACTGTAACTTTAAAGCTCACACTCCTCTGATCACGTAATGTGCTTATAAAAGGGTACCTACAAAGATTTTCTCTTCATATTAAGTGCTATCTAGGTGTCTTTTTTAATATATTTTATTGCTTTATTTCAAACCGTAAAGGCAGCGCACACTGTTGAAACATTCAACAGTAGTTGTTTTCCGACTTCAGTTAAAGGCAGCGGTTGGATGCGTAGAGCTGAAGATTGAGCTCAGTGGCGTGCCATAGGAGAGGCCTATGTCCAGCAGTGGACGAAAGCAGGCTGAACATGATGATGATGACTTCAGTTAAAGTTATTACTATTATAAGGTTTTATGTAGTTCCATCAGTCCCGGTGTCTGTCTGTCTGTCTGTAATCAAATGATATGAATATCAAATGAAAGGGCTTGATGAGAAGAATACGTTTTCGTATTCAAAAATACTAAAAAATAAAAAATAAATTAATAGTAAAAAACATTTTTAAAAACAAGCATCGATTTAAATGCTCTAAAAAGAAAAAAATAAACTTTAAATTACACAATTTATATGCTATAAAAGCATGTCGCAAAAATCAAAATCTATTAAAAATTATTATCTATTAAATCTAGGTACAACTTTTTCTCATCTTTTTAGTTCGCTTTTTACGCAGTCGCGTTTTTTATTTTTGTAAATTATTTTTTATAAGCTATGTGTGCAGTTCAAATACCTATTATGTAATCTGAAAAAGTAACCATGGGTCATGAATCCTTAAGATCCGGGTGTTAAAAATGAAGTTCCAATTGAACATTGGACCATTGGACAGCCACTAAAATACGTCTTAATGAAATTACTGGACATTGCACAATATTGCTCGATGATTACAGAAGTCTAAATTATTATTTTTATATATTTCTCTTGGGATTTCATGAGTTCGAACGAGCCCGGCCCTTTAGAAGGGTAAAATGCAGGAAATGCATGGAGATATAATAATGTACATACATAAATAGGTTCTACATATAATTAGTTACCCTTCAGGGGGTCCACCTCTGAGTACATAAGAAGAAAAACTGTAGAAAATTAAAATATATTGACTTGCCCACGGCTGCGTTCGTATAATTTATAAGCTATACTTTAAGTAATTTTATACTGTATCAATAGGTACATATGCATGTACATAAAGCTGACTGCTATGTACTACAGATCCAATTTGTAAAATGTGTCTTTTTGCATCATATAGTCAAGAAAAGTTACTGGCTAGTGGCTGCCTATATATTGATAGATAGGTTATTTCAATTTATATATCATCTGTACCGCACCCCTGCAATCAGAATACAGATTTATGTATTGTGTCCTGGAAAATGGTTCACAATTGTTTTCCCGTTGTTTCGGAGCTATCTCCGTTGGAAATTTTTGAGAATTTTTGCTACATATAACCTGTTGAAAAACACCAATAGAATCCCATCAAAAGCGACAAAAGCCACATAGAAACCAATAAATATGTATTGGTTTCTATGTGGCTTTTGTCGCTTTTGATGGGATCGTATTGGAGTTTTTAAATAGTGATACATCTGTTTAAAATTAAATTTTCTTTTTAAATTACCATTTATCCTATACTAAAATATGTTTCTTTTGTAAGTGTAGTAGTCACGTATTGTAGTTGAAAAGTGCAATGTACCTACTGTGTTTTTTTTACACCGGTCAACTTCTCATGTGTCTACTCTATACAAATGTGACAACAGAAAAATATTTTTTTTTTCTGTTTATTTAGAGTTTTATTTAGTTTATTTATTTCAATACTTTATTATATGTAGATACATCAATCATAAATTTTGATTTCAGCCTGGCATATCATAATGATTATAGTACAGGCCAGACTTTGTCGCCATCTAACAATCCACAAAATAAGTTATACTTTTGGCACTGGGGTGATAAACTTATAAAATGATGAGTATAAAGTTGACATGCTTAATACTCTGGTTGGCATCATATGTCAATTTAAAATTTTTGAACTATCTATGCAGTATGCACTATTCATTCACTCCGTCTACAACAGCAAAATTCGTATCGTAGTTTCTCGTACGCCAGCGCCATCTATTTTCAGACTACAGCTGGACACTTTTTCAACTTCCTCATATAAGAAGGTTCTCCTTACCTCTACCACCCATATTATCTATTAATTATATCATCTTTATAATCTATACTGTAAGATAAAACATTACAGTGCTACAAGGATCTTTTGGCACTTACATGACAGTGACATGAGGGCGTTGGTGTGAAATTAGGGTTACAAGCTAATAAAATCTACTTAGTTTTAGGGAATTCTTTTAAAAACTCTATCTTTATATTCCGTAATTCAATTTAACTTAGGAAATGAAAAAAATAAAATTAAAAGTGAATGAAATTTAATTACTTAATATACAAATTATTTAATTAATATAAATAAATAAAACATTATTTTTTTTTGCTGTAACTATGTTCTGCATGAACTATGTCAAGAGGTTGCATACTACTAAAGCTTTCCTCATCTTCATCGTGAGAATCATCATCGTCACTGCTTTCTTCACTCTCAGAGCATAATTGTATGAAAAAAGGTTCGTCCAAATATCCATCTTTTTTTTGATACTCTTTTTCTATTTTCTTGACATGGGCGCAATGATTGCGCCATTCATCGACAAGAATGGAATCAAAAGCATTCTGTACCATTTCTGGCATTTGATTGGATGGCTTTCCAATATTTATCTCGGCTACTTTTCGTTTCATGGATGCCCAGACCATTTCAATGGGATTAAGATCACAATGATAAGGTGGTAAACGCAATATCTGAGAAAAAAAAGAAGCAAAATTAAATAGTTTACTCACCCATACTTAAAATATTGTTTTAAAAAATAGCATAATAAGAAGACACTTTATTAGTGCCTCAACGGGTCTAGTAGAGCATTCAAGCTATAATTACCTTGTGACCCAGTCCTGTTAAAATAGCATCGACGGAATACACTGGTTCGGGTTTGTTTTTATTTACAATTTCTAATAGTTGTGGTCTAGTATATTCTTCTGAATATTCAAAATTATTTATTCTTAACCACTCAATTATTTCATTTTTTCTTGTGCTTGTGTTTGGGTGTTTATTAATTCGTGTGTTATGATAAATTGGGAGCCAACTTTTCTAAAACCCATTTATTAAAAATTGTGTTATTCATGTCTCCATGGTAATCACCACTCTTTGTTTGTGATATAAAAACCAAACAAGCATTGTTCACAAAGCCTTGATTACCTCCGGCATGAACAATAATAAATCTTTGTCCTTTAGAGATGGGCTCTAATACTCCATCTGAAATTGAATTTTTGAACTATAAAACAACTATAATACAAGCAGAGTCTCTACTCTTACTACTCTAGTCTTAGAATAAATATTAATAATAGATAAATACATATGAAATTAGTCAAAAAAGATTTAAAAATATATTACTCATTAATATTTCAAGATATTTAATTAATTAGCCAATACCTTCATCATCATTCTGCCAACATTTTCCAGCTGTATGACCGGTGTCAATATATGTCTCATCTAAGTAAATAACAGGAAGTTTTTCTGTCTCATCATTATACTTTAAAGTCTGAAATAAAATAATTCAACGGTTTGTGAATTGGTGTGGCAGTTTCATAAATGTTTCCATTTGTCCTTATTAACTTTTTTAATAATATTAAAGACTATAAAAGTACATGTACCCATACCTGCAGATAACGAGCGCGCCAAGCAGTTATGTCGTTACATTCTATCAGGACTTTTCTGTTGCTTTTACTTTTTCTAAATCAAAAACCAATCATTTTTATATGTTGTCTAAGAATTTCTCAACTGCCTGTGAATCCTATCTCTTCTTTAAGTACATGTAACAACTTATGCACTGTTGGTATTTCTTTTTTCCAAGCATAAAATTCATGTATCTTTCGTCTAGGAATACCAATATCGAAATTGTCCATTACAATTTTATCCTTTCTCGTTTTTCTACTTTTCCCTGGTGTAACTATTTTACTGGATGATGCTTCAGCCAATCTGCCTTCATTTTCAATTCTTACAACTGTTCGTAAAGATATACCTGAAATCGTATTTTTTTTTTTAAATTTGAAGGACAAAATATGTTTCTTAAGGATACAAAATATGAATTAGTATTCTTGGTAATAAGTAATAACGGGTACACTTACGAGGTATAGTATGATAACACTTACCTGTTGCAGCTGCGACGCGCTCATTTACTCTTTCAAATGGAATAATCGGAGCGCCAGATTGCTTTTCTTTCATAAAAAAATCCTTTATTTTTAGCACCACCTCTCTAACACCACTTCTTATTACCTTTGGCATATTTTGAGATATTTATAATGAAATAAAAGCACGACAAACTTATCAACTCCAGCTATCTGTCAAAAGTGACGCTTTACAAGATCCGCCATCTTGTCTGTTAGTTCCAATTTCGGCCACGCGCCAAAAGATCCTTGTAGCACTGTACCTATACACAATGCTTGCTTCTTGTTGTTCTTGGTCTATGCTTGCTTCCTTAATCCTTTACTTGTCATTTATTAAGTATGGACTATGGTCATATGGTGTTTAATCTGTGATGAGAGATCGACATCCGACATCATGTCATCAATCAAAATAAACTTTCAATTAAACTTTTACAACATATATTTAAAATTTTAATGGAAAACTATTTTAAAGGAAAAAACGTGGAGGAAGAGTTGGAACGATGTAAAATACCTATCAATAATATTCCTAATAACTTTCTCTGGATGCAGGTTCGACAATACTTCTACGTTAATGATAGTTCGAATTATTCGTAATTGTCATTTATATTAAAAATAATAATATAAACTTAAAATATGTATATGTATATATTAAAATATGTCGTAGGTAAAAGGTGGTAGTAAGATGACCAATTTGATATCTCATGCAGCTGGGATCATAGAAGACAAAGCAGCAACTGCTGTTGTTTGGTCTGGTGCTGGAGTTGCTATCGCTAAAGCTATCTCGTGTGCAGAGATTTTAAAACGACAATATTCCATTCGACATCAAGTGACAAAATTATCTTACAAAAGGTACATCGCACCCTTAAATATCTTTTTCAAGAACATCCTTAAGATGTGTAATATAAGAATATTATAAGTATGTATTTGTATAATAAAAACATAATATGTCTTTCAGTGTTGAAGAATATTGGGAACCAAAAGTTGATGGCTTAGAAACAATTGTGGTTAAAAGACAAATTCCTGTTATTCACATATTGCTTTCAACTGAAGAAATACAAGATATAAATCAACTTGGGTATGTTCTATTCAGTTTTTATATTTAGGAATATAATTTTAAACAAATTCTTGTTTGTCTTGTGCTATACAGTATAGTTGTAAAAAATACTAATTACAATGTAACACTATATCCATAGCAGTCTTATATCTTACAAAATGTTGAACATTTGTATAATAAACAATATAAGCATAAAGTATTCTATCAATGATTCTTCAGGGATTTTATATGACTATACTGTATTTGAGAAGCAATGAGGCACAGTGTGCAAGCGTAACAACTTGTTTTGATATTTGAAGTATAAGTATTGAACATTAACAAGTGTAATTTTTTTAAATAAAACTATCTTTTCAGATTATTTCGTAGATTTATTTTGATTTTTGGTTCCCGACGTTTCGAATGCTTTACAGCATCCATGGTCACGGGAGAGACTGAGGTGTTACATGTCTTGAAGGTATAGTTGTAATACACACAGCCTACCCACAATTAACAAAATGAAAATTATAATTAAAATTATTAAAATGTTTAAAGTTAAAAAATATTGTAATGTAATTGGTGCAATTTTCATTTTGTTAATTGTGGGTAGGCTGTCTGTAACAACTATACCTTCAAGACATGTAACACCTCAGTCTCTCCCGTGACCATGGATGCTGTAAAGCATTCGAAACGTCGGCAACCAAAAATCAAAATAAATCCGTGAAATAACCCTAAAAGATAGTTTTATTTAAAAATGTCAAACATCCGCGTAAATCTAAGAAAGTATTAACAAGTGTAATTATTTTTTTCTCAAAATATTATTGTCTTAATATTAATATTTTTTTAGGTATCAAAATTCTCAAAATAAAAAGTTCTGGGAAAAACCTGCTAACAATGCCACAAAGCAACACCAGTCACATAAGACCAAGAAGCCATTTAAATATAAAAATATAGAACAATAAATATTACTTTTTATTTAAAATTTCTTATTTCCTAAAGAAATGTACATTACTAGCCTTTTGTTTCTATATCATGTTTTATAAAAATTACAATAAATTTTAATTTTTACCTACCAAAAATAAACAAATGTTTTAAAGAGAAATCTTCAAATAAATTACATAACTTATAATACCTACTTGCTTTAAATTTGTATCTGTATATAAATATTATAAATGTGAATTACGCCAGAACAGCTGAACAGATGTGAATGAAATTTGGCACAGAAATAGATTAAAATCTGAAATAATACAGGCTACTTTTTATCCTGGAAAAATGTACGATGATATCCATCCCACAATAAGTTTATTTTGTTTCAAAAGAGGCCAACCGAAGCAAAGCGAGGGTGAGCCGCTACTACATTTATAGGTAATATTCTAAAACTCTTCTGAAGTCACTTATTAAATAAAACAAATTTAAATGTGAATACTTCTTTTTATTAAATAAATCTAAACATACTTTATTATGTAAGTTATACTGAAAACTTTGCTACTTATAACTCTTGTCAATGAAGAAGTTTTTGGACACTTTGTCAAAGGTTATACAAATTTAATTATGAAACCTAATGGTTACTCAAAAAGATAATGTGTTACCACTAATAAATTGTAGTAACAGTAATTAGTAAACATTTTTTTCCCTCTTATGGTATCCATAAATTTATCAAGCTTCTGATTCTCCTACTGTCTGTGTTATAGGTGTTTCGTCATCGAGCTTAGGTAGAATGAGAATTTCCTTGGAAATTATTGAATATTTGGTGACAAAATATGTAAATCTCTTACACAAGTGGGTTTCTTTTTCAAAAGCATCGAAAATTGCACGATGATGAAAATATGCATGAGAAAATATTCTATACACTCTTCTGCACACTGATCCTAATTTTGCCACTGAAGATTCTTTTATGCTCACCCTGAAATGCATTCAATTATTAAATATTTATATAATAAATATTTTGTTTGACAATGTTTTTTTATTATAAAGTTCTTTTTACCTGCTAGGAAAGTACTTATTGCTGTTTAGTAAACAAGCAGCACCATCAAGTGTATGCCTTGTATAATCAATAGCAGGACATTCTTTTGGAGTCTTGTGTGCTGCACATAAAAATATCCATTGTTCAGTAGCTGTCATTTGAGTACAAGTTTCAGGCTTACATTCACTCTGTAGTCTTACAGCTAAGCCATTTAGTTCCATACAAAATTGTCTGCAAACGAAACAAAAATAGATTTATAAAAATCCAAAATTCATATTTGAATCAAAACATTGGCGGCCGTTTAGAATTGGGGACTTGGCCCCTAGCGGAGTGGGTGGTATTTCTGGATAAGGGACGTGATAGGGAGTCGAAATGTTAAATAAATTTTTTAATACAACAAAAGAGTCAAAAGTTATTGAGACTTAAAGTTATAACATTTCCATACATTATTTTGACATTACTACCATTTAGACACTTGGAGTCAAAACGTCACTTTCAATTGTCAAAATGATCTCCAGATGATTGTCTTTATTTGTACTTTGCGTGAAATTCGAATTTTCTAGTTTTCTAGTCATTTATGGCACTCGCCGGCCGCTACCGCGGCACGCTCGCTTCGCTCACTCGGCTCGTGCGTTGTGGCAACTGTTCTAACCTAACCTAACCAAGATATGACGAATAATTAATAAATAATCTTAAATGTTCTAACCTAACCTAACCCAGATATGAGGAATAATAAATAAATAATCTTAAATGTTCTAACCTAACCTAACCCAGATATGAGGAATAATAATCTAACCTAACCTAACCAAGATATGACGAATAATTAATAAATAATCTTAAATGTTCTAACCTAACCTAACCCAGATATGAGGAATAATAAATAAATAATCTTAAATGTTCTAACCTAACCTAACCCAGATATGACGAATAATAAATAAATAATTAAAAATATTCACAGATAAAAAAATGATTTTTTTTACTAAATGTACAATTGTAAAACAATATATTTTACATAAATCAAATAAAAAGTTATAAATGTATTTATAAAGTGAAAATAATATTTTTCTTTTTATTTATTTATTTATTAATATTAATATTTTACCAACAGAAAAAGCAAAAATAATCAAATATAATCTGTTGTCATTTAAGCGGTAATATAAAACAAAGTGTCAGTTTTGCTTTTGTCAAAATGTAAGATCATTTTGTTTGTGTTGTGAAATTATTAAAATATTAAATACAATAAAGCATTAATTGTTGTGAAAATGTGTAATGTACATAAAAAAGGATGCGTACTATTCGTTAAAGGTATGTTTATCTGTTGTAATCACTTATTTAGGTAAAGAAATGTATGGAAATGTGTTAGATATGTTATAACTTTAAGTCTCAATAACTTTTTAGTCGTACGTTTCCTCCAAATATTTTTAATATATTTTGACTCTCTGTCACCTCCCCTATCTAAAAATACCACCCACTCTGAATGGTGGTAAAGAAATATATGAAAATGTATGGAAATGTTGTAACTTTAAGTCTCAATAACTTTTGAATCTTTTGTTGTATTAAAAAATTTATTTAACATTTCGACTCCCTATCACGTCCCTTATCCAGAAATACCACCCACTCCGCTAGGGGCCAAGTCCCCAATTCTGAATTTGTGCCAAAACATTCAGCAAATAAACTCTTACCTTAAATGTTCATATTTCCACACACCATCATCTTGTGCTTCTGGCATTTTAAGAATGGCTTCTAAGTTTGCAGGATCCCGTCTTATAGTTTGTTGAATAAATTGTTGAACTGCCAAAGTACTATCCATTTCTTCAAAAGGTTCGTCGGGCCAGCGACAAAAATCCTACAAATAAAAATTACATACATTATATTATGTCGTCTCGGTAAATACAATATACATATAAGGTACATAGAAAACGTAGAACCATAATATTTCGTTCTTTCTCCTTAATCCTTATTATCTACATACCTTTGCTTTAGAACCAGGACGATTACGCCGAAGTATTAGCACTCCATCAGCCATTTTATTCTATATTTATTGATCCAAAACTTGCACGAAAAATTCCTCCGATGTTAAAGATTTAAATTGTCTAAATAAAAATATGTCTATTATTATCACACTGTATAATTCGTTACTTGTGATATAAAATTGATAGCAACGAGAAAAAGCCTTGATGAAATAGTCAATAGACAGCAGATTTAGACTTAGACGCCCTATTTACAGTTAGATGATTGACATTTGATAATGACGCTTGCGGTCTGTGCTGCCAGCACTTGAAGTTTTATCCACCTAAGAGTAATTTTAAAAACCCCTAAAACACCCTAACTGCCAATAGGCACGATGACTGATTTTGAAAAACTGGCCCATAATAATCTAAAGTATCTACTATTTCCGAAAAATTTATTATTTCTGCAGGAAACAAAGTTTTTTTTTCTTAAATTTAAGCGAATGTTTGACGTTTTTAAATAAAACTATCTTTTCGAGTTATTTCGCGGATTTATTTTGATTTTTGGTTGCCGACGTTTCGAATGCTTTACAGCATCCATGGTCACGGGAGAGACTGAGGTGTTGTGGCGGATAGGGAAATGCCACCCGCTTAGGGCGGCGGGTGGTACCAGAGAAATCCGGCGCGGACCAAATGGCTTGGATGGGGCCGCTCGTCTAGGCCTCGAGCCGAAGACGTTGCGGCCACCGGTGGTGGGACCGCTTGGTCCCACAACCGGATGATGGGTGCCGGTTGCGGGACTGTGGTCGCAGGCCCGCATCCGGCGGAGGAGTAGGCCGCGGCGGGAGAGTAGTGCCGGTATTTCGGTGCGCCGTTCTCCCTACCTTCCGCGGCCTAGACGGGGCCGCCACCGTTCGATGGCGGACGCGGTGGGGCTGCAGGGGAAGAGGAGTGTCGGTGTTTCGTTGCCGCTCTCCCTGTCCTCTGCAGCCGATTGGAGGTGGCCCACTTCGGTGGGCGGTGGTTAGGTTTAATGGGGCTGCTCCGGGTACCTCTCTGGCGTAGCAGAGTTGACTGTGGAGCAGCCCCATTGGTTTGGTGGTCTGCCTTTTTAGGCAGACCTGCCGCCGGGGCGCCGTAGTAGTTATGCGCAAGCGATCCTGCGGCGTCCCATTAAGGCGGAGGGGAGGGGAATGTCGGGTTTTAGTGGGTAGTACCGGCTCTTCTAGCCGGTGAGCCCCACATCACCACCTGGGGGATCAGGTGGTATGCGTAAATGCATTTCCCGACATAAAGAAAAAATCGAAATAAATCTGCGAAATAATCCGAAAAGATGGTTTTATTTAAAAACAAAGTTTTACTAGGAAAAAAATGCTATTTAAATTTTAAGTTTAAAATTTGCTTCAAACCAATCGACGGTGACAACGGTGTGATGGGCTGAATTGATAGAGTCTGCTTGTGACATCACGGCCGTGTAAGCCGACCGTAAATATTAGGGAGCCAAAACAACAAATCTGATATTTTGAGTATTAAATATGAATTCCAAAGTGTATATGCCGGGCATTTGGACTTTTGAGATTTATTAGTCGGGTAAATCAACGACTGTTGTGTGGCAGCCCTGCTCTCTATAGTCTGTGCTGTTTTATGTTTATTGTTTATGTTTTTAGTGGAAATGTCACTAATCCCATAGAGTATATTGCTACATATAAAAAACTAATCCGTAATAGAAATGTAAGCCGATTACAAATTTCGGCACCGGTTTAAACCGATAAACTTATTTTTTAAAACCGGGTCATTTAGGTTTTGTCATAAAAATAACAAAGGTTAAATTAAAGTAAGAAAACGTCATATTTAATTAATTTTTTAATTAATTAAATCATCATTTTGATTGATAAAACAGAGTTGATCCACTGCATCATCCTTTAACCTACTTCTCCTCGAGGTAAGTATGTACCCCGAGGTGGAAAACATGCGCTCCGAAGGTACGAACACAAATGAGAATTTGAATATTGGAATTCGGATGCATGATTGAAGAGCGTGACCAGATATGGCAGTTTTCTACTTTTAATTAAATTTTAGACGTAATTTTTTGAATAAAAATAGATCGATTTTCAGGTTACTTATTTGCTTAAATTGCGAGGTTTTTTGCCTAAAACACGCAGTTTTTTCTTAATTTTACACTTTATTGGTAGTTTTAGTAGATTTTTTTACTATACTTAAAAGTAGTTTTCCAAAATGAATGTTTGGAGGTCAATTCGGATACAATTCTACACACATTAGAACTATATACCATATAGTAGGTTTTTATTATAAAAACCGTTTTTTTTGATTTTGTAAAAAACTGTTTTTTTACGTTTTCTTAAAACCGGTTACATCTCTAATCCGTAATCATTTCAACACTTGTCAATGTCATACAACAAAATATTTTTATACAAAATTACAAATTTAGTACGTCGTTGGTAAATTAATTACCCACTTAGCTATAATCATGGTTGTTTTAAACATTTTCAATTATCGAAACTTCAAGTAGAATCAATTAATTTCAGTATATATGTGGTTTTAGTAAAAGTATACAACTTAAAAATACACGTTTTTAATATTCTTTTCTGAAAATGTATATAATTACTTGCTTTTTTATTTTATGTATCATTCTTGTTCGAGGTTTATTTGTAAGTGACATGACAGAAAGTTCTTTCGGTAATAAAAACGAGGGATTAATTGCTGCATTTGGTGATTTTAACTCGGATGAGCTTACTGACGCTTTCATTATCAATGGTTCTAACATTCAAGTACTTTTAGCTCATGACAAAGAACCTTTTCTGAGACCTTCACTTTATTCATGTGATTTTGATAATTTTAATATAACCAGTATAGTGCCAGGAGACTATGATGGAGATGCATATATGGACATTCTTATAACAACACAAATACAAAATGTTACTTCAAATGTACATGAAGTGAGAATATTATGGGGTGGAATGCCCAATTTAAATTGTTCAGATGCTCTCTTAATAAAAGCAATCACTATTGGCCAACCATTAGTACTAGACTATAATAGAGATATGATTTTGGATCTTTTTGGAATTAATGTTCAAAATCAAAGAGTTTTTTGGGTATTTGACAAGTCAAGATCAACACCAAGTGAAATTTTGATGAGTGGAGAAAAATTAAAAGAAATAAAATTGCCACATTCACATTCCTTTCTAGATGTAAATGATGATAATGCTGCAGACCTCTTAGTAACAACTGCTTTAGATGTCGAGATATGGTTAAATGAAGAAGAAATTGGATTTAAATATAATAACAGTATTGAATTGCTGGTTGGTCATCCTACCATTTATGGTCAAGCATTATTTATAGATGTAGCTCTTTCGGGACAATTCTTTCTTGTTATTCCAGTATGTTATGATCTAGAATGTGTGAATAGTACCATTTTAATTTATGATAATCAACAATGGCATGACCTTCAAGTTGATTTTAACGATGGCAAGGGAACGTTGTGGAGATTTGTACCACCACATAATGAGGTTTATTTGGACACAATTACAATGCGCAGTGGAGATTATAACATGGATGGTTACCCTGATATACTTATGATACTAAGCCCTGTCAATGGTAAAGATACAAAAGCCTTCTTGCTTCATAATGTAGCTTGTAATTTACCTGGATGTAAATTTCATAGAACTTTTGAAGTTCAATGGGAAAGATTCAGTTCATTTGGTAATAATGTAATTATGGCGACATTCTATGACTTTTATATGGATGGCGTACTTGATGTCATTTATGTTCAAAAAAATGTGACAAATACAACTGAAAAATATATTATGAAGGCCTTTAGAAATGAATTGGAATATGATACAAATTTCATTAAAGTTATTGTAGTAACAGGATTAAGTAATAAGAAAATACCAACTATTAATGGGACTTTGTATACTAGAAAAGTAACATTTGGTAAGTTTGTTAGTTAAATTTGTTTTATATGAATGTAAGATATTGTATTAATACTTCTCTTTTAATTATTTTTAGGAACAAATCTACCTGGTCCTAAGATAGGTTACAACACTTGGTCACAGGAGGGTACTTACAGAACAGGTGTATGTGCACAATTGCCGCAGTCTGCATATTTTGCCCTACAACTTCCATATTCAATATTTGGCCTTGATAGGACTCCAAATTTTGTTGATACATTAAGTGTTGGTCTATCAGGTTACTCAAAAAGTTGGACACAGATCATACCTAACTCTCAAATTGTATTAATACCAGCACCACCGAATGATCCATCGCAGTGGAGAGCACAGCTTTTTGTAACACCAAGTAAAGTTATTTTGAAAAGTGTATTTGTGTTAACTGCAATAATAATTGTTATAATTGGATGTGTATTATATTTACATTGGAAAGAAAGGAATGATAGGCAAGATATTATAGAAATAGATGAGAAGACATATGTTAAAATTTAGAAATAATTTAATTTTAATATAAGCCAATAACTGTGATTAAAAAAATATATCTTTACATTCCTATTTTTTTTGCGACATTAACACACAGCGCCATCTAGTTCCATGGTAAGCTACGAGGCTTATGTTATGGATACCAGATAGTTGATACACTACACATATATAACTTTAAATACATACATATTATAAATAAAAACGCCCATGACTGGAGTACAAACATTCGTCATCACACAAATAAATGCCCCCAGCGGGACTCGAACCCGCGCCAAGTATTATATTTTTATGTTACGTTTCGAGCTGATTACATTAGAGATTTTTACAAAACAATACAATATATTTGAATCAAACACAGCTTTGTGCATTTCTTTAAAGCTAAAGATATAATATCTATATATGTCTATACATATAATAATAAAATTCTAACCGAGTCGAATCTGTTCATTAAATTGTTTTTGGAAACTTACAGATTCTCATCTGGATGATGTTATAAGGATAGCACGTAGCGACAAGCCAGATGTTGAAAAAGTTTTGAAAAAGTGTTCACAGTATCAAAAATCGCATTAAAACATATAAAGATCTTTGTTAAAACAGTAACTTTATTGTTAACTTGGAATTACGTTTTAATTAAGACCTAAATAATATTTGCTTGCCGCCCTCGACACCATGACTGAAACGTGTTTGTGGCCCCTAAAAAAAAGGTTAAGTATGGCTGATTTAGAACATCATTCCCATAAGAAAACACAATAACTGGTCGGCCAAGTAATTGTCCTTCATACAAAACTTTCAATTATTATTGCACAAAAACAATTAGTAGCAGGTTTATGATTAGCATATTTAACAATTTAGTGCAGTAAAATCTCTTTATTTTCATGAGAAAATGCAAAATTTGTGCAAGTGCAAGTCGAGTGCAAGTCGCTCATATATGTTGGGAAATACATTTAGGCATACCACTTTTATACATACAGGTTGTTATGTGAGACTCACCGGCTCAAGAGAAGCGATCACTACTCACTAACACCCAAGAGAACCTCCCCCGTCTTAATGAGCCTCGCAGGACGGCTAACGCACTCAACTACAATGCAGGGGACAGCAGGTCTGCCGAAACACACCACACAATCAAGGCGTTGCTCCCACGGACCACTCTCTATAAGAAAAGTACCAGGAGCAACCCACATGGTATACCGGTTACCGAAGTAGGCAACCTTCCAGTGTTTCTTGGCTATACGCCCGACTGAATTGCCGGACGTTACTGAGATTATTTACTTATAATATATTAAATAATATATACCTACGGAATTATTGTAACATTTCAAAAATTGTTATATATTTTCCAATTCACATGTAATATACCTATATGTATAATCCGAGCATACAATAGGTATGGTAATATTTTAGTCCAAATATAAATTTTATAGGTTTTAGATAAGTTTCTCATTATATTACTTTGTTAAAAACATGAACGGATTATGGTAATTCGTTCATGGTTAAAGTAAACCAAAAGATATAAATTTCTAAAAATAAATAGATGACGCATCTCATTCTCTTAAAATAAAACATGTTGAGGAATAATTATTACTTTGAGTCTTATATACCTAGTACTACTTATATTTATATATATAATTCTTCTGTACGTGTGTTTGTTAACCTACTCCTAAAGGAATGGACCAATTTGGATGAAATTTTGTGTGTATATGTCAATACCACAATGGGATCCTGGATGGTTTAAAAATACAAATAGACTCAGTAGGTGGCGCTGAAGTCGGTGTGCCACTGATCATTTCCTAAACGGCAGGGACGATATTAATGATATTTTTTGTGTATGTTCGAGTGGGTCCCTGTAAGGTTTGAACTCACAAATGGATCCGGTAGGTGGCGCTGCAGTCGGTGTGTCACTAAACTTTCATAAAAGACTCCATTTTCCGAGCAATAAATAAATTTAAATTATTGATAAAATAAAATAAAAATCGATGTGTGTATGTGTTTCCTATGGAATCCAAAACAGCTGGAGCGATTTTGGTGAAATTTTCAGGTAATCTTCAGTTTAGCCGAGTGGGCGATCCTGTGAATTTTATAAGCGATCGGAAGTTTGGACTTGGGCGAAGCCGCGGGTACCGCTACTCTAATATAATAATATGCTTTGCTATCCGAGCATGTTCTTTAGGTGCTAGCTGTGTCTCTGTAATTGAATTAATTTATCTTTATTATATATTAAATATATTAGGACTTAGTGCCCACCAAAGTCTAAAAAGAGGGCTGATATATCTTTAACCTAGTGAAAACTTTCCAAAAAATATTTAACGCAAGATTTTGTCTTTGCTTTATGAGGATATACCTACATTTGTTAAATAAATATTAAGAGGACAGTTTCTATTTCACCGACAGTTAGGGGTCACCTAAATGTTAAAATGCCACCTAAATATAGGTACTAGAAATACAGGATCTGACGATGGTAAAACGAAATTTAATTTAGGGGAACTTTTAAGCGAGGGATCCCATACGTAGGTGGAAGCTTAAGTGATGTTGATGAAATCGGGCATAAGAGTTAGTAGCAATAAACACTCGTTAACTAAAAATCTACCTGTTATAATTTCTATATCACTAATTCGTTATTCTTTAAAATCGTCGAGTTCTTTTAAAATAAATGGTTTAGTTGCACGGATTTGGGGGATGATGTTGCCTGCGTCCGTAGGATTTACCACCTCTTCCTAGGCCCACCCTACACGTGTCCCCTGGGTGGTGCGAAACAGGCAACAACGCCGAGCAATGGGCGGCGGTTAATTAACCCACCAAATTTAATTAACAAAGTGTCCAATTCAATAATCTGCCGATTTGCACAAGCCTAAGAGGCAAAAATCATCATAAACTTTATAGTCGATTTTTGCCTCTTCGGCTTGTGCAAATCGGCAGATTATTGAATTGGACACTTTTCAGGATGTGACTAGCCTACCACACCTTAATCTGACGGTTTCAAGTATTTCTACCTTATCAAAACATTTTTTAAATATTTTAATCGGCTTCCCTAGACGCGCCCCTTTATATAGAAGACTTATATTATGGTGAAAGTACTCAATAGAGTGCAAGGTAACCTCTTTTATGTTAATCTGCCGCGCTCGAGTAACTACAGAAAATCCCCTCATGGGCTCCCCTACTATTACTCTGAAATTGTGAAATCACACAACAAACAAGTTGACGTAGAAGACACCTACGCAACTAAACAAAATATCAACTCAACAACTGAAAAATCTATAAATCCCACAATAGAACAAATGTTAATAAAACAATCGGAAAAATTTGATCTTATCCTTCAACAAATGAGCACCTTAATGGGACTCATAGCTAAACTCGTCGATAAGCTTACATGATGGGACCCTTAGATTGGCCACGTGGAACATAAGTGGTCTTGTACCCAAAAAAAACGCAATTGAATCACTGATGATAGAGCATAAACTTGATCTAGTCCTTATATCAGAGGCACATTGCACAGCGGCTAGCTCCATTAAGTTCCGCGAGTTTCAATGTTACCAGACAAATCATCCTGATGGCACAGGCCACGCAGGAACTGCAATAATTATTAGGAAAACCATAAAACACCACCTTATGCCAGAATACAAACATGACCACTTGCAAGCGACCACCATTGCAGTGGAAGATCAACGGGGAAGTTTATTAGTATCTGCAGTGTACTGCCCTCCAAAGCACAAAATCACTGAAAATATGTTTAATAATTTCTTTCAAACACTTGGCAACCGCTTTATAGCTGGGGGTGACTGGAATGCCAAACATACGTCATGGGGCTCTAGACTTATCAACACCAGAGGTAGACAACTAAAATTATGCGCCGAGTCCAACAAGCTCCAATGGGTATCACCTGCGGAGCCTACATACTGGCCGACAGATCAAAATAGAATTCCAGACCTTCTGGACTTTTTTATGACCAAAGGCTTAGGTAGGCACTACACAAAAGCTGAAAGTTCTCTTGAAAGTTCCTCAGACCATACTCCTGTTCTACTAACAGTAAGCACTCTGATAATAGAACGCAAGAATGCTGAGACACTGTGCAACAGATATACTGACTGGAACTCATTTAGAGAATTCATAGATAATAGAATAGAACTCAAAATAAAACTAAAAAATGCTGACGATATTGAAAACCAGGTCAAAAAACTTACGACGCTAATTCAAGAAGCTTGCTGGACTTGCACTCCTGTTCTAAAATCACAGAATAATGCCCCAAATAAGCCATTTAAAATAAAGGATGCTATTCTAGACAAAAGGAGATTGAGGCGCATTTGGCATCAAAGTAGGCACCCTCAAGACAAAGCCGAATTTGAAAAGGCTTCTCTGGAACTAAGGGAAATGATCGAAGACTGGCACAATGACACACTTGAAACAAAGTTAGAAACGCTTACTGCTACCGCTTCCACTGGCTATTCATTATGGAAATTAACCAAGAACTATGATAGACCACTGGAGGCAAAACCTCCCATTAGAATCGGTAGTAACTGGGCTAAAACGGATCAGGAAAAAGCTAACGCTTTTGAGGAACACCTGTCAAAAGTCTTCACTCCTAACGACGCGCTGGACGACTCTCACGAGGCCGTGGTCTCTGAGATTCTCAATCAAGCTATGCAGCTCTCACCACCTCCGAAACCAGTTACACTGCGAGAAGTATGGAAAACTATAAAGGAGCTCAAAGATAAGAAAGCCCCTGGCTTTGACCTTATAACTAAAGAGATCTTGTTACAACTGCCCAGGAAGGCGGTAGTACTAATAACTACCCTATTCAATGCGATCTTTAGAGTCCAGTACTATCCTCAGCTATGGAAGGTATCACAAATTTTAATGGTACACAAAGCGGGAAAACCACTTAATGATATCACATCTTACAGACCAATTAGTCTTCTCCCAGTCGTTTCAAAAGTCTTCGAGAAAGTCCTCTTACGTAGGATTCTGCCTTTACTACAAGAAAATCAAGTCATACCTCACCACCAATTTGGGTTTCGCCAGCAGCACTCTACAGTGGAACAAGTGCACAGAGTCTGCAACAAGATAAGACAAACGCTTGAAAACAAGGAATATTGCTCTTCGGTATTCTTGGATATTCAGCAAGCGTTTGACAAGGTCTGGCACACAGGCTTACTCTGTAAAATAAAAACTTATCTCCCACATTCATATTACTGCTTGCTAAAATCCTGCATATCAGACAGAATCTTCCAAGTGAAGGAAGCTGAAGCAACTTCAGAGTTTTATGACATACTGGCTGGAGTCCCCCAGGGATCTGTGATGGGACCTGTGCTTTATACAATATACACTGCAGACCTCCCGCAAGTGGATGGAGTTACCACCGCTACATTTGCTGATAACACAGCCATACTGGCCAGTAGTGCTGATCCATCACATGCTACAACAGTCCTCCAAAATGGACTAGATGAAATTACACAATGGCTCCAAAAGTGGAGAATAAAAGCTAGCACAACAAAATCGGTGCAAGTAACTTTCTCTTTGAGAAAGGGAAACTGCCCCCTGGTAAAGTTAGAAAACACAGTATTACCCCACTCTGACTGTGTTCGGTATTTGGGGCTTCATTTAGATTGAAGACTAACATGGAAGCGGCATATCAAATCTAAAAGAGAGGAACTAAACATACGATTCCGTAACCTCCACTGGCTGCTTGGACGTAACAGCAAACTCTCTGTAGATAGCAAATTGCTTATATACAAGACAGTATTGAAGCCCATTTGGATGTATGGCATACAGCTATGGGGCAGTGCCAGTAACTCAAACATAACCATCCTGCAAAGAATGCAGAATATGATCCTCCGCACTATTGGCAACTCGCCATGGTTTGTGACCAACAATGAAATCCACGATCACCTCAACATGTCTACCGTGAAAGACGAAATCAAGAACACTTCGCAAACCTATCCATTGGCAATAAATGAGTAGATGTTCTCAGTGGAGAGCACACTCGACAGACAAGTACCCTCACACAATCTGCTTATAGTTAAACTGATTGCAGATAATAAATCACAAAAAAAAAAAAGTTGCACGGATTTAAATGGATGGTGACATGTTGAATTTCTCAAATCATATACTATTTTCTGGTTTCATAAGTATAAAATAAGACAAGAACATTTGTTGGGTGTAAGTGTATAATGTATTAAATGAAATATAGATTACATAAGTACAGTACATAAAATTTAATTACAAAAACATAAACAGAACTGAGTAATTTAAACATTCTATACTTGCTGCAAATCTTGCTACAGTATAGTATTATAAAGATGTGTAATATTGTTTCATCAATTTATTGTTTCCTGTCCATAAACAGTAGTAGGTACTTTAGAAAATGGAAAAGAACTGTGTTAATTAAACAAACCCTACAGAATACAAACGAATTATAGCTACATATTATTAAAGGAGTCTTGGCCAGTTCAGAAAATTTGAGTTTTATTTTTTAGATATAAACTGGCTCAATGCTTGGATTTGTGTTTATTTTTTTTCTCTTTCTTCTTCTCCAATTTCTCCAATTTCCTGAAAAATGAATCATATTTAACACAACAAACAAATACAACAAGAACATAATTAGATAATTATTTTTGAAACATACTTCAAAAGCTTTTTCTTTTGTTTCTTTGTTAACTGACTTATAAGATCAGTTTCTGTGAGTGATGTGTCATTATCCACAATTTTATTGGCTGTGAGAGGCATAGCACCTGGTTTCATTACAAGACCTGTGTCTCTCATTTGTTGCATTAATGTTGGAACATCTGGTTTCTCTTCCTCTTCCTCTGGTGCACTAGCTGAACTAGCTTGTAAAGCTCTTGCTTCACTCATTGAAAGTGAATACATCAAACATTCTTTGTCTGAAAAAAAATATATAACCAATAAGATAATAATAATAATTATTTATACCACATATGTTTTAGTATCTCCTAAAGAATATTTACTGAATTATTCTGAAAAAACAGTATTTGTACTAGATATTATTAGTAAAAGTTAAAAAAATGAGTATTTGACTTCAAGTTGAATTTTGTGCCAGAATAAAACTTTTAGTGGATATAAAATAAAAAGAAGTAAATCATGTTTTTGTTCTTAATTAAAAAAAAATCTAAGAATTTTATCTAAAATTATAAAATTTATGTAAAAATAAAAATATATATTTAACCTCTTACAAACATTTATAGAATGTTGTCTTGTTTTGAATTAAAAATGAAATTTATTATATTATTATTAACTTCAATATTTTTAAAACATTTCATATGACTGCCTTATAGACCTGCGCATTACCTGTGTTGATATGCCCCCATTTATGGCATTTGATACATCTTACATTTCTAACCAATATTCCAAATGGTTGATCTCTTATTTCATTGTCACCTTTACAATAACTCTCTCTTGGAGCATTATATTTACGTTGCCATTCAAACTTATATTCAGGTTCATTGTCTTCACGTTCTCTCTCTTTTTTAACTCCCGGTGGAGGCTCATACATAAAATTTAAGCTTAATTTATCTTTGCTATCTTTACTCAGCAATGCTCTGAAAAATAAAAGAAGTATATTATATAGCCTTGCTTATACCTAAATTAAAACCATACTAATATAACAATAATATTAAAAAGAAATCTTATTTGACATAAAAAAGACTTACTTGTTTTCGTGTAATTCTTGTTCTTTTTCATACTGCACTCTAAGTTCTTCTTGCTTTTTCTTGTAGGCGTCAGTTTTTTGTTCTGCCATCCACACCTAATGTATATGTAATGAAAAAAGAAACATTGATTAAAGTATATACATAAATAGCAAATAAAATAAATTAAAGAAAACTTAAAATGCGTACTCTTTTCAAATTATCCCTTGATGCTGGATGGAAAAATTTCTTGCACATGTAATTATTAAAACCTTTACCCATTTTTTCTTTTGTATATTGCTTCTTTAAAAGTACTTTTATTTGTTATATATTCCAATATAAATATGGGCACCTTTCTCTTGATTTTAACTTTTTATTATTTTGACACCATTGACCATACATATATGAATAATAAACCACAGACCAAAGACTAAGTAACCACTTTTATTTGTCATCCAATACGTTTTACGCCACAGACCTGAAGTTGACAATTTGGCAAATGGTCGTTTTCTGACTTCTGAGTCATTTTTGACAATCTTTGCCGTCATTCGGCTGCGTAGCTGCCCACAGATGAAGGAGAATACTACCCTTTTATTAAAAAAATAGTTAAATTTATAGTAGATAATAGAATTAAATTATATATATTATAATTCTAATATAGTCTTTTAATTTATGTATTTTTATTATTTTTTCAATCATTGTGAAATTTTTATACCACGTAATTATCTTTTTATTGTTGTAGGTCGCTCCTGTAGACCGATCATTCATTTATAGTTTTAAAACTGCCGCTCAAACTCACTCGTGTCTTAGGAAGACAGTCTTCCTGGCAATACATGACACTGGCAAAATGTATTGCGTCTATTAACGCAACTCTAAGCCACTAAATAAAAAAACAAGGAGACGAACACTAACTGTTCCAATGCCAAAAGACATACCAGTAGCAATATACTCTATGAAACATACTGAGCATGAATGACAAATAAAATACTGAGCGCAAACACATTGAAAACTGCATCAATCGCACTTCCATTGTAATTGACAATACCGTAGCAGTTATGAGTTAGCACATTGACAATTGCGAGTTGCGATTGATCGTCTCTGGTCCGCTTTAGGGCTATCCATGAACGAATTAGAATATTTTGTTCATGGGGCTATCGTTTCTGGTGGCACCATCTGGCAGCACTGTCGAGTGAGGCCCTATCGCTATCGTTGAGAAGTATTTTGTTAGTGGGCACCTGGCCAATAAATTTATTATAATAATTATAATTCTTAGCGCAAAAATGGTTCTATTAAGATTTTAAATAATTAATTATAACCAAATAAATGAAATATTAACTTTTTCTTAAGTTTTCTTTTAAACCCCTAAGATTATTATGCTGTACCGTGTCCTAAAGCATAAAGTGGTATGAGTTTTGGTATATCAGTAATCTGTCATCTGTGGTGTATTCTGTATTGGCAACAGTACATTTTTGCGTTGCTCACGTTGAATTTATAGAGAGTAGTACTGTAGTTCTTCGTTTTAAAGTTTGTCCTTTTGTTTGTAGTGATCTACGTTAATATGTAATTTATGTAGTTTATATGTTTTGCTTTGAACTTTCTAGTGTTAAAGTAATGTAACTAATTTCCATATCTAACAACTACCTTAACATCCCGTATCGTGCACTTATTATTTGATATCTAAATGTCTTTGGGGTTTCAGTGAACAGCGATTTCAAATCAATGTATATTGAAATGTAATTTTAGATAAATTGTTTGCTTTTTACTTTTTGCGCGTTAGGGGCTTCAGTAATTTGAAACGTTTTGTATAATGATAGTTCAATAAAACTAGTGGTTAATCCGGATCCACGATCCACATTTACTCATTGTCATCGTTGTGTTGCTTTATGTTTTAACACATTCATACTGTTTTATCGTATTGGAGTATTTTTAGAACTCGACTGTGGTATTGAGCCTGATGTCTTTGTAAACATTATATTATGATTGTAAATACTTGCACTGTTTTTATTATGACTAAATGGAATTGTTAAGTGAATAATTGTTTGGATGAACAGTTTCACCTGAATATGATGAACATATCTTATGTTTATGAAGTGGAAAATTTTCAAGATAAATAAGTTCTTATTTTTGGTAAGTAAAACAGTTTAAATGTTGGATATACTATTAATAAGTGATAGTTTCAAATGGGATATATGTAGTTCTATTTAATCTTTAAATAAATATCTTTGTTTTAATAATTATGGTGATTAGTAAACTTATTTTTTCATATCAGTAAGATATATAAATTTACATATCCCACTTATTTTGAATTAAAATACTTTATTATTGGTAACTTACAATATACTTTGGTAACTTACTTTGTAGCAGTTTAAAAATGTTTTGTTACACATGAGTTTATGCTATTTTATATATAATTATTGTTATTAATTCCTTTTTTTAAATTTACAATCCTGATTCAAGGTTTTTAACACAGTAAGTTAATACAAATAGCTTAGACTGCTTATGTCCAATATTTATGTTTAAATACATTTACATCAAAACATGACAATACAATATAATATATAATATTTGTAATAAACAAATGGATATGAAAAGGTTTAAATTTAAGGAATTAAAAGGGTTCAGTAAGAAATTGATGAAGATATAAATAAGTTTAACTAAAAAAAATAGTACATAGGTTATGTATCCCAGTAATGTGATTTTGTGCAATAATTGTGTACTATTACATTATTTTAAAAACACAACATACATAAGTAGATATTACTACCCAAGAATGTTGCAAGAAAAAAAAACAAACAATATCACTTGGGTAAAGCTATCGAAATTATGTCTTTATCAAGTACTACCTGAATATTTGACACAAACTTCTATCAAACACAAAACAGTCTAAAACAACAGGTTTTAATGTGCATTTTCTATGATTATTATTAATTACTAGTGGTGCATCCTCACTTCACTCCGGTTTGTCCCTAGATAGGTTTAATGGTTAAAGGAGTGAAGGTGGAATAGAAAGACTCTATATATATATATATATATATATATATATATATATATATATATATATATATATATGTATATATGTATGCCTATGTCACTCTAGCCCTCAAACTATCTCTACACAAAAAATCTTGCCTATCAGTTACTTTGTTTCGATGTGAAAGAAGGACAAATAAACACACTTTCACAATTTTGTAATATTTAGTATGGATATACAAATACCTGAATAAAATTTCATCAATATTATTTGTCAGTTTTATTAAATAGATTCTTACAAATGGTTCAAAGTACTTTAAAATATTTATCTCACCTTCTTTGGTATTAATTTTAATGGCTTAGAAATGGGACTTTGTATTATTTATTTCTTCTTTATTTTTATTCATTTACTAGTGATACCATGATTTTTACAACTAACTAATATCCCATTGAAAATAATAGAAAGGTCTAATCTGAGGTGTTCCTAAGTTTTTTGTGAGGTATTATATGTCCAACTTAAAACACTGATTTAATTTCGGTGCATTATCTTTATCAGGAAAAGAAATATCCTACTTCCTAGAAGATAGTAAGTAAAAACATATGTAAATTGGAATAGTTATTCAATACTTGGCAACATTTTGATTTCCTAGGCGCCGTAATTTGAACGATGAATTCTTAACCGATGAAGATAATTTTTGACAGAATTCAATAGATTTTAAAGAAATAAAACGAAAATATTAACGATCAGAACGGTATTGACGAAAGCATTAATATGGTTATTAAAAAAAATATTTATATTTGATTCTTAGACAATATTTGATTCTTGACACCAAAGTTTTACGTAATGGTGACTTGTTAAAAGTTAAAACAAATCAAATAAGCTAAAACTCAAAAGTTTTAGTATTAGTCATTAATGGGATTCCTAGCTCTATTATCAAATCAGCTTGTTGACAGCAAATTATTATAATCATGTAACGACAACACGAGTTTAAGTCGCTGTAAAGGTTAAAAGCACTAAAAATCAAATTCTACAATTTGGTTACATACAAATCTATACATATAATAACATTGTAACTAAGCGGTATCCGTACATAAAATATTTTTTGGAAAATCTCATTGAAATAGACATTATTATCGATACAGAGGCCGAATCTATAGTTATTAGAATTTTTGTCTGTCTGTTGTTACCGCATCACAGAAAAACCTTGGAGGGATTTTGATGAAATTTGGTAAGATGATAGCTGGTTATCTGGGTCAACATATAGGATACTTTTTACCGCGGGAAAATATCTCATTTCTGAGACAAAATACAAAAACTGTATCTGTAAAACCTAAGAATTTGATTTTTGGTCATCTGAACGTGGGCTGAGCCGCGGACAATGCTAGTAAAATTAATAAAAACATTAAAAAGTAAGAGAGACAGACAGAAAAAAATATGGTTACTACATAACATAATAATTGCGTAAGCATGTGTGTATGTATGTTTGTCACTTCTTCTGTGAAACGGCTGGACGGATTTAGATGAAATTGAGTTTACAAATAAACTAACACCTGGAGTTGAGTTTCCCCAGCGTAAAAAAAAAACAAAGGCTACTGTTTAGGCACCTAGGGTTGCACCCAAGCGAGATGAGAGTGTAAGCGGGAGAGAATAAATTGTAGTGTATGAAGTATATTATTTAGGTATGTAATAAAAACAAAAAAATCATATTAGGTCGTTTATTGTAAAACTAGAAATTTAAAGTTTAAGTACATCACAGACCATATGTTATACTTTTTTGTAATAAAAAACTGAATATTTGTTATCACCAACATTCATTACTTTCTGCTACACCTCTGGTTCCATTTCCGAATGTGAATATTTATTTCATCCTTATATTAGGGGAGGAGATCTATTGAATTAAACAATTTCAGATTTTTTATCAATATATTTATAATAATGTAGTTGAAAAATCATAAAAATATGAATAAATAAGTCTGTAACTATTAACTATTGATAATACAAAATATCTGACCTATCCAATTTTGTTGCACATTTGATGTAGGTAATTGCAAATTGGCACCAAATTTTTTGTTAAATTATCGATATTTCAGTTCGTAAAAGCAAAAACTTGAAAAAATAAATATTCATGAGCCTGTAACTTTGTTGTTATTGATGATATGAAAAAGTTGACAAAGACTTTTTATAGGATTTTGCATTGTAAGAGTATACCGATATATAAAACCTAAGAATTTGGTTTTTGGTCATCTGAACGTGGGCAAAGCGGGCAATGCTAGTAATAAATAAAAGAAATCATATTAATGAAAATTGAGGATGAAACCACTAAAATCTATAATGAACTTATATTCGTTTCAATATTAATGTAGGTAGTAGTATTATACATAGATACATAACTAATTTTACTTTTTGCATACTCTTTATGGCAAGTAAAAAAGTTAAAAGTATTACGGTGTAAATAGAAACAGCGCTTTGTACAAGTCAGGGTCAGCTACTCAGAGGAGTAGATTAACGAATTTCCGGAACCATGAGTTCCAATTGTTGTTGAAATAAGACACAAAACTATGGAATTGTTCTAAAAATTTTACTAATGTAAGGTTTTCAAAAACCGTATTTTTAAACCTAAACAGACAGTTCCGTTAATCAAATCAAAAATAATTATTAATATTCTAATTTTTCGTTAGAGTCTTGAGTCTGTTAATCAGTATTATCATAAATCACATATTAGTATTAGCATTTATGTCGTCCCGACCGATTTCGGCCAACTACGCAGGAGATATTATAGTGCACAAGTGTAAAGCAGATAAAACGTGCACTTTCTATTTCTTTCGCTCTGAAATTCCGATGGGACGATAATTCGGCACGACCGGTGAGAGATCAGGCGCAGGTCCGACGGTTTACGTTCTTACGGCACGGGGGTGAAACACTGCCAACTTACGAACTCCGGGCTATTACTGGGACTTTCTTAACAGAAAGACTACTCTACTTTTTCTTAACAGAACTTTAACGAAACTGGGCACGACCCGGGACTAGAGTCCAGGACTTCCTAAAGTGCAGCCGTACAT